TTTGGCCTTGAAGTGCTCAGAGTGCTCGTGCATCTTTTTGTTGAATTTGTCGGTGTGCTCCTGAATCATTTTTTCAAACTTTTCATAGTGCTCCTTCATTTCAGGGGAGAGCGTGCTCTCGTCGGGTTTGTCCGCGAAGAACTTCTTGTTCTGTTCCTCCATCTTCTTCGCGAACTCGGCGTCCAGGCGGTCAAGCTTGGCGGAGAATTCCTCAAGAGTGGTGGCCATTTTTCACTTAGATATGTTGCTTGGGCGTGTTAAACTGTAGGAGAAAAGAGAGGCAAGAAAAGCGGCATAATGATGGAAGACACACACACACACACACACCGGGAAACAAGAAAGAAATAACGGCGTGGCCACACAAACCCGGCAACTGCCGGCTGGTTGGTTCAAAACAAAATAAAAAAACTGGCTTAAATAATAAAAAAAAACCATTTAGGGAGCCGTAGTCGACGGCGTGTACGTCACCAACCACAGCCCTTCTATCCCTAGATTCATTCTTCATACTATCCTGGGAACTGGGCGTTCTTCTGCTGCTCAAGCAACTCAGCAAATTTGGCCTTGAAGTGCTCAGAGTGCTCGTGCATCTTTTTGTTGAATTTGTCGGTGTGCTCCTGAATCATTTTTTCAAACTTTTCATAGTGCTCCTTCATTTCAGGGGAGAGCGTGCTCTCGTCGGGTTTGTCCGCGAAGAACTTCTTGTTCTGTTCCTCCATCTTCTTCGCGAACTCGGCGTCCAGGCGGTCAAGCTTGGCGGAGAATTCCTCAAGAGTGGTGGCCATTTTTCACTTAGATATGTTGCTTGGGCGTGTTAAACTGTAGGAGAAAAGAGAGGCAAGAAAAGCGGCATAATGATGGAAGACACACACACACACACACACCGGGAAACAAGAAAGAAATAACGGCGTGGCCACACAAACCCGGCAACTGCCGGCTGGTTGGTTCAAAACAAAATAAAAAAACTGGCTTAAATAATAAAAAAAAACCATTTAGGGAGCCGTAGTCGACGGCGTGTACGTCACCAACCACAGCCCTTCTATCCCTAGATTCATTCTTCATACTATCCTGGGAACTGGGCGTTCTTCTGCTGCTCAAGCAACTCAGCAAATTTGGCCTTGAAGTGCTCAGAGTGCTCGTGCATCTTTTTGTTGAATTTGTCGGTGTGCTCCTGAATCATTTTTTCAAACTTTTCATAGTGCTCCTTCATTTCAGGGGAGAGCGTGCTCTCGTCGGGTTTGTCCGCGAAGAACTTCTTGTTCTGTTCCTCCATCTTCTTCGCGAACTCGGCGTCCAGGCGGTCAAGCTTGGCGGAGAATTCCTCAAGAGTGGTGGCCATTTTTCACTTAGATATGTTGCTTGGGCGTGTTAAACTGTAGGAGAAAAGAGAGGCAAGAAAAGCGGCATAATGATGGAAGACACACACACACACACACACCGGGAAAAGTGAGTTATCCCCACACAGCTCAAGTTGAGCGGTAAAGATAGCCATTCTGGCAGTGAGGAATTGCGTTGATTCAGTTAAGGGAGGGAAGCAACAAGTTACCAAAAGGGTCAATAAAGCCAGCGACCTTCGCGTTGGTGAGCTCCATTATGCGTGCCATAGCCCCCACCACATCGTGCTTTGTTGCCAGCGCAAAGTTATCACCGGTGATTCGCACCTGTGGCCGTGGCCGGCGCACAAAGAGGATGCGCTGGTCACTTGGCTCTTTAAGAAATTCTTTGGCGTCCTCAGTAGTGGCAGTGGATTGTATGAGGAGCTGGAGACCAGTCTCCGCCTGCCCCAGTAGCGTATCGGCCGTGTCCGCGAAGACCCGAATAACCGCCTCGTCGTCAGTGATGCGTCGCAGCGACAACAGCTCCCCGAGAGTCGCACGGCGAATGGTGAGGGCGACATCCGTGAAGAGGTCGACGGTGGATTGACGTGTTGTATGAGACCCTGAGCCCGCAACGCCTTCATCAAAAAGAGAACCGTACACATCATGTGGTATCCCAACAAGGCGGAGCTCAACCTCCTCAGCCTTCTGATTGTCCGTTTCCCGCACGCCTTTCATGTTCGTGTCAACATCATCGACGACGACGACATTCTCGTCCTTGCGCTGTCGCTTCTGCCCCGCCGCCGCATCGGTGCGGGCGGTACAACGATCTGCATGAGACAGGCCGCGCCGAAGCCGCTGGTAGGCCACGCGCCCTTCTTCGGCCAGCAACTCAGTGTGTCGCCCTGGCGTCGGAACGGAGCCAACCGCCTTCATCATTACAGCCACACCGTCCACGTAGAAATCCACGCGCCTTGCTGCATCGGCCGCGTTTTTGGCAGAGTAATCCACCAGCGCAGCACCGGAAGATGAAATGAGCGTTGATGCGCCCCCGCCCCCTGGCAGCATAATAAGAAGGGCATTCACCACCGCCTCTCCGCTAACATGGGCACGCACATAGTCGTAGAATTCCTCCTCCCCCACGTGCAGTGGGATTTTTGTGACGAGCAGCCTGTACGGCATGAACACTCACGTCGCTCTAAACGCTTCGGTGGTCAAGTGCGGAAAAGGGGCAATTAGGAAGGTGCAGGCAGTAGTAGCAGAGTCATAAGGAGCTCGTTATCATAAGCGCTGAAAGGAATCAACGCGCCTGGGATAATTGGGATGTCAATGACAATAGGAAAGGAGGGGAGAGAAGACACTTCTCCGCACAATTCCGATTGTGGTTGCTGCAAGAAAAAAAAAAAACAGCCTGCACGCTGCAGAAACCAATATCCCTTTTTGTTTTTTTTGTTTTTTTTTTGCCAGCCTTTCCTTTGGTTTGGGCTAGCGGAGCTTCAACAAGAGCAAAAACACCGCCCACGAAACCGCCTCGCCAGACGGGGGCATAAATAAGCACACACAAACAAGCAATCAGCCACAAAAAAGCCGCTCTCTGTGAAGATACTCTCGAAGGCCATCCACGTAAAAGTTTCTGTTTCTTCTCGCCTCTCTACATTCGGTTAATTCTCCCTCTTATGCGTGCTTTTGCGGTCAGTCTTTTTATTTTTTCCGCCCCCTGGAGTTACTGGCGTCGTCCACCCAAGTCCATGATGCCGCTCTCCCACCCACCCCCGCTTCTCTGCAGCCGCCAGCTGGAAACGTGTCGCCCCGCTCACCGCCGACCCACTGCGGCTGAGCCACACGCCAATGGCCCGGTGATATCACGTCGGTTTTGTCTGAAGGCACCCGTCTTCATCATCGCCGGTCCCCGGACGCTGCGGTGCGTAAACCCATGCGCATCCAACGGCCAGACACACACACTCAGAGAAAGGAAGAAGGAGAGATCATCAAGAAAAAAAAAAAACAAGGGATAACAAAAGAAGATGAGGAATACCGGAAGAAAAAACACACACGGATCCAATGAGGATGAAAGAAGGCAGAGGGAGAAAAGGAGGGAGAGCGAGAGCACACAGAGGCCCCAAAAAAAAAAAAAAAAAAAAAAAAAAAAATGGAAAGGCAAAAGAACAAGAAAAATAATTAAGAAGAATAAGACGAGCAAAAAAAAAAAGAAACGACAATAATAAAAAAAAAGAAGAGAAAAGAAGGAAGAGAACGGACACTCACTGACACCCACGATCGGACCTCCTCCACTTCCACCATGCATTCATGCGCAGTCAGCAGTTAAAAAATTTTCACACATGCATGCTTAAATCCGACAAACCCCACCAACACCACCAAAAACAGCAAGAGAGAAACACAAGAAGACATGCGGCAAGAGCAATTCAACTTGTGTCCCCCGCAGCATGGGGCAAAGACAATTGAATCGTGTGTGGGTGAAAGCATATGGATATTGCACCTATGTGTGTTATTTGTGAACTTATCACGGTCACCGGCGCCCACACTCGTAACCAACAAGGCCAAACCAGCGTCGTAAGGGACTCAACACAACAAAAACAAATCCCCAGAATAAAGCCCAGTAACTGACATCTGCCAACATTTCACGCAGCCCTTCATCGCTTGTCTCTTCCGTCTTTCTCCACTCCCCCCTTCCCTCTCTCTCTCTCCCTTACCGTCTCCCTCAAACTCATTGCTCCAATCTCTCCATCCACTCACGCACATACAAACAAGTACGGAGAGGAAGAAGAACCATCCATGCATCCCCCTCTTTCCCCCTCCTTCTCTCCTTCCCTCCTTTACCCCTCTTCGTAGAAGACAAAGGCAGTTTTATTCCCTGCTCCCCCCATTCCTCTCGTTGCCCACTCAACCCTCCACCCGTTGGGCTTTCTTTTGAACCAAACAAACAAAACAAAACATCTCCCTCACTCCCTCTCTCTCTCTCTCTCTCTTTTTCCCCACACATTGTCACGTCTCGTGGAAGATGCATGCTCCCCATGTAGTCACATCCCCACTTCAACAGCCTGAACGCTAGAAAAACACGCTGCACGTACGGTTGCACGGAGACTGGGGCAGTCAAAAGCACACACGCTCAAAAAAAGAGGATAGAAAAGAGAGAAAAACAAAAACAAAAACACTTTAAAAGACCAATGACAACAGTGCCATCCTCAGCCAAAACAAACAAACAAAACAGGGCATCAAAGAAACACGCATGTAAACACACAAACACACTCACACAGAAAGAAAAAAAAAAACCTAAAACAAAACAATCATCCAAGACCCCTGACCATCAGTCGTTTCTCCCCATCCAAGCGCTTCTCCTCCCTAACGATCATTCCACTATACACACACAGAGAGAGATAAAGGGATAGATTCTATTCCTGCACTTCCCACGGCATTGGGAACAATAAAAAAAATAATCCCGTTATTTGCATTGCCTGCTTCCCCCAAGAAACAGAAAGCAAAAATACATGACGAGCAAGGCAACAAAAAGAACAATAGTATCCAAAGCAACAGTCACAAAGGAAAAAAGTTTACTAAAAGTAATGTGATTTAGAATAATCTTCCGGGCAGCTGGCCGGGTCCTGAAATTATCTATGGAAACCAAACAAGTTAGGAAAAAAGGGTTAGTTAGTTAATTGCTTCAATGTTTTATTTTCATTCAATATATAGAATTCTGTGGACCACCAGCATGGTCCTTTTTCCTCAGAATAATATTACTTACGAAGTGGCAGACTTTGGGGTCCTCCAACCACAAGACCCCGCCGCGTGGTGGGAATCAAAAGGGGGTGGGTGGGATGGCAAAATAAAATTAAAAATTTATCTGGCCTCTATCTGCTCCCCGCCCCTACAAAGTCGCTTTCTTCCCAAAAAGATTCATACGGTAGAAAGTATCATAAAGAATGCATTCATTTATCAGGATATACATACATACATTAATTAAGTTAGCCAGCTCTCCCGCGATCATTCTTTTCACAAGCTCCTAGAAAAAAAAAAAAAAAGGGAAAACCTGAAACCAATACGCACAAATGCAAACAAAAAAAAAAAGAGAGAGAGAGGGAGAAAGTTAGAAATGATGATGATAATAATCGAAGGTATGCCGAAACAAGCCCTCACACTGAAAAAGAAATAGGAATATCGCCACTGGTCGCCCCGCCCCGTTCTCCCATCCTAGCCTGTCTCACACACAGACACACGCCACCCCTTCCCCATATTATCTCTCATTCCTCGTCCCTCCCTCCTTACCTTGTCAATTTTCCTTCTCTTCCTTCAACCCCTTTCAGCTGCATGTATCATTGTTCGAGGTGCCCTTCTCCTTCTTTATTCCTTCTCCTCCATCCATCCACCACAACATTCATATTTTCTTCTTTTCAAGCGTCTTCCAATGTAACGTGCTTTTTCAGACTGTTGTTACGCCGTGGTTTTGTTGTCGAGACGAACACTCATAGCCCTGTTTGCCATCTCAATGCCGTCAAACTCTTCTATGGCCAAGCGCGTCTCCTTTTCCGTCCTCATCACGACAATGCCCATCCCCCTGCTCTTTCCATTACGCCCCAAGATGACCTCCGCCCGCTCCACATTTCCCACTTGCTGGAACGTCTCTCGCAGCGCGCTGCTTGTGCAGTCAAACGGCAAATTTGAAACAAACAATTTTCGACCAAATTCATTAACCTGCTGGCTGCGTGGCTTGGGCACTGAGTCACCCATATCGTTCAAGCTCGTTGCATTAAGATCCTCTTCCATCGTGTAGCCACCACGGCCCATGTAATCCGCCCTACGACCAAAGTTGGTTGTGTTGTTGTAATTCGAGCCACCAGAACTTGCGCCTGTGTATCCACGGAATCGTTGCGACTGCTGCTGCGGTTGCTGCTGTTGGGTCTGACGGTCGTACTGGGGCATCATGCCACGCTGCACAATCGGTGGGCGGGGACCGTCATCAAAGAGACGAACAATTAGTCGTCGGCCCTCAAAGTCCGTTTCATTGTACATGCGAATTGCTCTCTGCGCACCCTCAGCCGTCACCATTGTCACCAATGCGGATCCCTTTGGCCGGCCCATGCGGTCGGCAATGAGGTCGGTGTAGCGCACCTTCCCGGCCTTCCTGAAGTGGTCCTTCACGTGCTGCCACGGTGTCTGGAATGGAAGATTGCCAACGAACAGCACATTTCCATGATTCTGTCGGTGATCGGCATCCCTCCCTTCTTGGGGTCCGCCCGATGTGGAGGACTGGTCGTCCATCATATCTTATTTTTTTGTTCTTTTTTTTTCTTTTTTGCCTCCTTTTTTGTTGTTTTTGTTGTTGTTTCTTTGTTTATCCGCCGTTCCGCTAATTTTTTCTCCTTCTCCCTCCTCCTGCCTTCTTTCGCACCTATGTTTACGCAAACAGACCCCTTCTAATTATATTTACTTATATAATTCTCTCCTCGTGAGTTTTTTCTTTTTCTTTTTCGTTCGGTGCTGTTCTTTTCGTCGTTTTGTTGTTGTTTTTGTTTTTCGCTTATTTTTTTTTTTTTATTATTTATTTATTTTAGACGTCCTCTATTTTTTCCTTCCTTTTTTTTTCCCCACCCACACACCCACACACACACACACAACTTTTTTGTGTGTGGTAGTGCCTCTTCTCCTTTACTTTGCTCGTCGCCTATTCCGCCCCCTCCGCCTCGCCTTTATTTACGCAAAACCAACGACAGTGAGGCCCTTCGTTTTCTCTCTCACTCCCACTCGCTTCTTTTCTTTGCTGTTTTGCAGTGGCGAGTTTCCTTCCTTCTTTTTTTTTTCTTTTTTTTTTTTTCTTTCGTCTTCAACGCCCCAAAAAGTCACTTCGCCCCTCTGAAATCGCCACGCAGACTTAAAACAAATAAACTGCCGACAGGCCGGAACGGATGCGACACGTCAAGAGGATGGAAAGAGGGCAAAAAACACAATTAAAAAAAAAAAAACGCTCATGCGGGGAAGAGGCAGCGGCAGTGCCAGCAGCGGCAGGGTCACAAATACACAGACAGAGGGAGAGAGAAAAAGAAAAAAAAAGGGAGAGCGAGTGACTCACGTGTTCTCTCAGAAACTGACAGAAAATAAAATTAAAAAAATTAACAAAACGAGAAAGAAGAGGACGCGACGTTCGTGTTTGGCCAGTGCGCGACCAAGCACGCGGCGGCATACATGCATGCCACGCAGGAAGCAGCGCTCTCAGTTCGGAACCTTCAATTTGCCATTACGCACCTTGTCCTGTATTTCCCGCGGGTTCTCGCCATCGATTGTGCAGCCTACGGAAAGTGCCGTGCCGAGCACCTCCATCACGACGGACTTCATGTTGGCCCCCATGGAGTTGGGCGCCGCCTCCTTTGCAATCTTAAGAATCTCCGAGAAGGGGATATTGCCGCTGTGCTTGATGTTCTTCACCTTCTTGCGGTCACGCGGCGGCTCCTTCAGGGCGCGGATCAAACGAGAGGCCACGGAGGGCGTGACACGCACAGTGGCCACACGGTTCTTGACGCGCAGCTCACATGTGACCTTGAGGCCCTTCCAGTCCTTCGTGGACTTGGCGATGTCCTCGCCGATCTTCTTGGCATTCAGGCCGAGCGGACCGACCTTCGGAGCGAGCGACGCTGTGGCAGGCACTTCACCGCCGACGGCCCTCACAATGACTATAAGCTCCTGGTTGGGGTCAAACTTGGGGGGCATTTCGCGACTTCTTTCCTTCCAGCAAACGTGGAGTACCGGTATTGGAAGCGCACGGGAAAAACCAAAGGAAAAAAACAAAAGAAATGTTGGAGGGGTTGTCATGTTTCACACAATACACTATAATACCCATAGAAAGAAGAAGAAAGCCATCCGTGTGTGCTGGTATCTTCGTTGAAAAAAACAGTTCGCTTCACTGTCGCCTTTTCACAAGTCTGTGAGTCGCAGTAAAAGAAGAAGAGTAAAAAAAAAGAATTGTACTTTTCCTCCATTTTCGTCATCGACTCCTTCTCCACAAGCAGCGGTTCCCACATACTCATCCGAAGCTTAAAGCCGACTGAGAGTTAACTCATTTCCTCCTCTTCGCCTGCAGTTAGAAACCGTATGATGCCCACCAGCCTTTCATAGAGAAAAGGCAGAGACCATGTGAAGGCGTTCATAAAGTTGGGAAGTAAATAAGGATGAGGTGCAGCCATAAACTGTATCACTCGCAGCGTTTTGCGTTCAATTTTTAAAATAGATGCCCTGTTGTCATATGCGTCACAATAATTAGGTGCGGAAAAGATGCAAATAACTGAAGGAAACCCCGTGGATCCCACCTTCCGAAAGAAACGAAACCCCTCGTTCTGCGCCTCGTGTGCGCGAATCACACTGAGGAGGCCATTCAAGGTAAGAAATTCCTCCACCGCACTACTGGAGTATAAAAAAGAACAGCCGCGCAGCGCATTATGCAAAAACAATGCATCTGGACACATCTGCTCCTCCTCTTCCTCCATGGGATCCGACCACAGAAGATCACACATGGGGCCGAACATCGGTGGCTCCCGCACCCGCTCAATATCGTCAATTTCACGGATTGTCTTGATGTACGGCGAAATTCCTCCATGGACGCAAAAGAACGCTGCCGCCACGAGAGCGGCTAAAGGCAGCCGGTCAAAGGCTAGCTGAAATGCATCATACACGGCTTCACCGTACTTACGCAAACATTCATCACGAAAAGTAAAGCAGCAGGAAAGATGACGACACTCGTGGTTTCCACGCAGTATCCAAAAAGACTTTGGATATCGAATTTTAAAGGCAAAGAGAAGAAGTGTCACCTCACAGGAAAAAATACCCCGGTCAACGTAGTCCCCGAGAAACAAATATTGCGTTTCGCCCGGATCCCCACCAAGTTCTAGCAACGTCAGCAGGTCGTAGTACTGTCCATGTATGTCACCACACACGGTAACAGGATCCTCCAAGCGCAAAACATTAGGTTCCTGCGCAAACAACGCGCTAGCGGTTTCAATCAGCCAAATTGCGTCAGCCTCCTGCAGGACACCACCTGCCTTGAAGTGCCGTTGAAGAACCGTGGTGTCGGGCACACGTATATCCCCATCAACACTACCATTAACGCCCGCATTGCCTGCCAGCTCACATGGAAAAAGCCGATCCTTTTCAAGTGGAAACAGAGGTGGTGGCTCAACAGAGGGCAGCCCTCGTTCAGAATACATGCCGCGTACCACCTTTCCAGCAAGAGCAGGTCGTGGAATCACAGAGGGAAAGAGAGAGTAATAATAATAATAATAATAATAATTAGTGAAATAACAAAGACAAAGAAAAAAAATAAAATTCCACATCTTGAAAGTAGCATCAGAAAAAGTCCAGACATTAATGCGTAAGCCGTTCCATACCATTGAGAAAAGTGCCTTCTGACGTTTATTATAAATTATTGGTCTCAAAAAGATACCTTTGCATCTTCCTCCCTGGGCATCCATCTAACGCGTTGTCGTACTAACAATTGTGGCACACCTCGTCACCGCCATCTCCCCCTTTTCTTCTTCTTGGGCATTTTGACCTTTTCTTCAGACCTCTCCCTGTCCAATTACCACTCACTCTAGTAGCCTACGGATCCGCTGGCCGTAGCTCCCGGACAACCCCGTCGTCGCCCACAGTGTAGTACCGCGGCTCGTGATGCCAAACATCGTGCTTGGCGTAGTGTGCAGAGTCGTGTCTTGTCTCGGTCGTCCGGTTGATGACATAACACGCCCGTGGCGCTGGGCCATATGTGTAGGGAATGCGATCCGGAAAGGGCCAAACACTTGGCGGCAGGTATTCTCGACGACATACCATTCGACTGCTCGGCTCAATAAAGCATTCGACCGCCTCATCCAGAGGTACCGTCTGCTGTGGATAACAGGCCTTCACAGAGCAGAGTGACACAACCCCGTCCTCCTTCTTCTTGGAAAGAAGAAACGTAACGCTTCTCGCACTTTTAGAGCACTCGGAGAGCTGCATTCGCTGGGCAATGGCAGAAACAGTGCTCTGCAATACGTCGCGAAGGGAGCTCCATGCACGCTTTATCTCTGCGTCACTTGAAAATGCTCCTATCACCTGAGTCATAAACGACACGGATGAAAACTGCTCGATGCCAATCACCGCATTTGAGTAGGCGTTGATACGGTAAACGTAGAGGACAGCTGTTGGGTTGCAGTGAAGGAGTGTCCACATGCGTACCACCTCCCTTTTGCTAAAACTTTCACAATTAAACGTCTTTTCGTCATCAGGGACGGTGTTGTAGCCTTTGCAGTTGTACTCCATCTTTATCATGCGGAAGACTGGGTGCTGATGGGTAACGTCGTAGACGCAGTTCGACACACAGTAAAAAGCAATATCGTTACCGAACGAGACCTCCGCGATGCACTTGCTTTTGTATAGGCCTCGCTCACTGCAACGACCGTTTGACGGAAGACGCGGCTCATTGTCCACCAAACGTTTGAATGCCGCCGCATTGACGTTACGTCGGGTCTCCCTAGACCCCGGCAACGGTTTCTCCATGCAAATATCAACTCGCCGCTCTGTCGGGTGCCAGACACATCGCACAGGAAGCTGAAACTCCGCACGGCACGACGACAAATGCGCCGCGGAAAGCTCCACTAACGCCGACTTGCACAGGCGTAGCGAGAACGAAACGCCCGCCACGGAATTGACAGGACGTGTGAGTGACAAAACTTCCTCTTGGATTGCAACCTCCTCGTCCCCATCGTTCCGCTGCTGCTCAGGAGGGGCAAGAGGGTACAGTCGTGCCTCGCGCGTGTCAAGTTGCTGCACCGCCAACGGCAGCGTCGGTGGAATGGAGACGCCCGGAAGGCACCGCGCTTCCCCACGTGACACCCTCTGCGTAACGGTCGCAGCGACGCACTGAGCAGCCAACTGACGTGCGCGAGATGTCAACTTGGCGACCGGCTTCACCACCATTTCTGTTCGTTTGGCGTTTTCTGCCGCTCTTGCTGCTGCTTCTGCCCTCTTAAGGTCAAATACAATCTCACTAAAAGCATCGCCACCGTCGCCGCCATTGCTTTCTTTTTTACTCGCCTCCTCGTCAGAGAAGCATCGCAGCAGTCTCGACTCGAGTCGATAAAGCCACCATCGCTTCGCAAATCGCTCCACATGTTCGTCCATGTAATTATGGTTCCAACAGGACCGGTGCAACGTGGAAATTTCCACCGCCTTGCCAGACCGCTTTTTGTAGCCAGCCTCGATCTTACAGGCCTCACATGACAGCGTCTCCTCCATGAATTTATGAAGGTAAGAGCTCTGCTCACGCTGAACAAGGTCAATTACAATGCCCATGTCGGGATATTCCTCTGTATTTTTCGGTACAACGCCCGTTTGCATGTACCTAAGCATATGTGAGCGATATTGGCGATGCTGACCTCGTGTGAGGCACGAAACACATGCCGAGAGACGCTTCGAAGAGTTGGATTTGAGCAGAGCACAGGCGGCATTGTAATCCACCCGACGACGCGTGTCGTCTTCCCGAGCATCATCCTCGCAAAATATCTCCTCGAGATACGCCTCGTTGATAATATTGAGCTGCTCTCGTATAGACGCACACTTGGGATGCTGCCTCAGTGCCGTAAAAAGCGACACCGCCTCCTCCTTTGGAAGCTCCAACGTGGGCGAAGCATTGAGCAGCAGCGCTTTGCCGTCCATGCTGCTTTTACCACGTGCACCCGGAACGAGAATATCCGTCTCGCATGGGAACCCGCTGGCTGGCGGTCGTGCAGGCAGCTGAAATTGTGGGGGAACAAACGACATGTGCCCTTCCATCCGCCGATGCTTTAGTTCGGGAGATGACATAATTCCCTTAATCTTCAATAGAAAAAGGCTAGAGACAAAAAAAGTAAAGCAAAAGGAGCGTCAATTTAAGCAAACAATCAGCCAGAAACTCCGTAGGAGTGAGCGGGCAAAAGCAAAAACTACCGCAACAACAGTTGGGCGATGGAGAATTACGCATCTGTCAACACGACACAGAAAAAAACGGGGGAGAACAAAGCACGGAGAACGAAAAGAAAAATAGCAGAGCACGTCGAAAAATACAAGCAAGAGCAAGAAAAGTGGTCTGCGCCTTGCTTTTCCCCTCAATAAAGATGAGGGGAGGGGAGAAGAAAACCATAATGTGTTTTTGTCGAGCTGCTCTCATGGCCATGCGTTCATATAAACACGTACACAACCTTTATATTCAATACGCAATGGAGCGTCCACACCGACTTTTCATTAGCTACCACCACCAAGTGCAAATCAAAGGAGCGGAGGTGCTGAAGGCGCCATTCGCCCGCCTCCCGTGCAGCGGCGGGGAAAGGTTGTGTGGGCCTCCACAACATGACCATTGCAACAAAAAATATACGCAACGATGAAAATGAGAGAAGGATGCTGCCATGCCTATTTTACAGGGCACACACAAGGCCGTACAACATTCCTCCTGCAGACTCGCAACAACAAAAAAAGGAAAAAAAAATTTTCATCGCACGTTATGTTCCTAAATAATCACTCTCCTCTTTTTGGTGATCGCGTGCTTTCTCCTCAGCATCACAACATTTCACGTCACAAACTTCACCCTCATGATTTTTTTCGGTGCCGCCACACTCTGCCCTGTTTTTGTTTTTTTCGGAATAATCCTTTGCGCCTCTATCACTTTCTCAGCCCAAATACAAAAATTGTTTGCCCCTTCCAGATTCCTGGCTTCTTTTGAAAGGCAGTTGATGCCACTGTTGGGCCCATACTCACCAGTGCACATGTAGTAGCCACCGTGTACCATTTTATCCGCCTCCACGCATAGACTTAGTACCGCCTGCGCTCCTTCTTTCCACGTCTTTCCAATGAGTAATGAGGGATAGTAAAGAACATGATCAAGCACTGGCAGTGGAAATAGGTCCCGGTACAGGTGTGTCGTGATGACGCCTGGGTGGCAACATGCCACAAACACCTTAAGTTGACGACCATCGCCGTTGCAAAAGAAGCGAAGAGAGACGCGGCGTGCAAGGACAGAGGTCCACCAAATAACACACAACTTCGAGAGCCCATAGTATCCGACAAAATTGCCAAGAGTGAATTCTTCCACGGTGGGAGCTTCCACCTTCGCCTCCTTGTCATCCCCTTCCTTGGGCGATGGGTGCAGTGCGGCGAGCATTTCGCCAGGGCTACATCGCTGCCGCACACCAAGAAAAGTATGACAGGAGGATGCAACGTTGACAATACGCGAAGACACACCGCTGCGCTCTGCCGTCTCCTCCAACAGCGGCAACAACAAATTTGTAAGCAGCATGGGGCCCACGACGTTTGTAGCAATCATTTCCTCCAGCCCCGTATCTTCGCAGCGGTGTAAGTGGCGACGCAGCACACCCGCGGCGTTCACCAGCAACGACACGGGAAATTTCTCTTTTTGCTCGAGAACGGTGGCGGCGAAGCCTCGCACGCTGTCAAAATCGGATAAGTCAACCTCCGCGAGCACAACGAGACGCCCAGAAGGCTTTTTCGCCATGAGAGAGCGCTTTGCTTCAAGCAGGCGCAACAAGTTCCTCCCACCCATGATGACAGTCCACCCGTGCTGCGCGAGTTCCTGCGAAACGCCGTAGCCAACGCCAGAGGACGCCCCTGTGACGAGTGCCACACGAGACGTGAAGTCCACATCGCTCGGCCACTTGCACTGACGCCCAGATGCCACGCCACGACAGGCAAATATGCAGCTCACGACCGCCAGCAGTGTATCCGCTGTTGTCATGGAGCACCACCACGACCATTGAAAGAAGTGAGCGGCAGTGGCGATGGCAATAAACAAAAGACATATCAACGCCGCAAGCGCCTCTGAGGAAAAAAGATGAATCATCTGCTGCAGCAAATAACGCCAACAGCGCAAAGAAAAAAAAGATACCAAACAAACAACCAAAAGAATAGAACTGTTTATTCACACGCACACACACTCATACGCGTAAAAATATACACTCCCTTCTTAACCCACATCCTTCAATGTGTCAAAGCAAAAAAAAAAAGGAGGACGGGAAAAGGATCTCCAATAAAATACTGAAGCACACAAACACGCAGAAACATACGCACATTTAATAGCAACCACAGAGCGCAAAGTAAAAAAAAAAAACGGTGGAAACAAAAAAGTAAAAGAAACCATAGAATAAGGCGCACCGCTCCCCTTGTAGAATTGTTGCACAACAAGATCTTAGTGCCCCCAATCGTCATTCGTGCAGGCCAGACGTGTGAAGCCGTAGTGCAGATTCGCGTCTCATTTGCGCGTATTCGCCCTCGTCCCACACTTCCTCACCCTCCGCATATGTTAACGGCACAGTGGTGTCAAGAAGTCGTCCAATGTAATCCTCCGGCAAGAAACCCGCCGCATACCGCTCCGCCGCTATACGGCGGAACCCCAATTCGTCCCCTTCTTCTTCCTCCTTTTCCACTTCCGCCTGCGTTTCTTCGTCATCCATCTGAAAATCGCCTGCCTCACAAGGTAGCGGCAAATTTTCCGCGGATTCCAAAAGGTCACCGAGTGCTTCGGCAGTGAGGACATCAGTCACAGCAGCCGCATTCATCTCTTGCTGTCCCCCCTCCTCTGTTTCGTCATCCTTACTGACCTGACGCCGCCGTGGCTCTCCTTCTTCTGCATGCGGTGGCGCAACAGCGGAGGCCATCAACAAAATCTCACCGTAGTGTACAAAGGGATCGCCCTCAGCCCCCGTTACCGGAAGGTCAATCAGCGGATCTCCCTCCAGCACGATGCGAATAGGGTTAATGGCATGAATATAACGTTCAAGGGTTTGCTGAACTGCCTTTGGTGCGCCGAAGGTCACGCAATTTTTTACGTCAAAGCCACGGACATGCAACAAAAGCGCCAAACAAAACGCCACAGCACCTCCAACACCATGACCAACAACAACCGTGGAACGGTAGGCGTGCAAAGGGGTTTCTGCCAGGAGAGCATCGCAGAGCCGCTGTGCCACACTGGAGTACTCCGCGTGAAAGATGGTGCCCCGCACCTCTTCTGACTCAATGATTTCTACCCGTTCCACCTCACGACTCCAATCGTATTTCTCACACCGCACGTAGACAATTTGCTTATTGTACGTCTCGTCAACCTCTACAACCACATCTTCCCTTCCATGCGACATGTAGTGTACCGAAACACCACTGCGCGTCCCAACAATGGCCTCCGTCACCTGCCATGATGTCAGACTGCCGGGTTCTTGTACATCACCCGTATCATTCTTAACGTCCAGACGATGAAGGAAGAGAAGACGCTCCCCGTAGGGAATAAGTGCATGCTGCATAATGCGGTTTTGGCGCTCCGCCGTAGCTTCTTCCTCCGCCTCATTCCTTTCCACCTTTTTGTTTTCAAACTGACAGTAGCGAAGATAATTCCTCTCTATCGTCTGTTGATAGTGTGAGTTGCCAACGCCCGCCGCGAGGACCTGCAACATGGAGGTGAGAGCCCGATTGCCGGGTGCAAGGAGGATTTGTCCCGCCACCTCACGCACCCTCTGCAATTCCTTCGCAATAAAGCGCTCGTATTGAACCTCCATCTCCCGCAATTTCTTCCGCCGCCCTTTGTTTATTTGTGCGGCATCCCCCTCGCGGAGTTTAAGATAACGCCGGCGGTTTTGCTCGGCTGCGTCAAAGAAACGAAACGCCACGTACCTCGTGAGACCATCCTCTCTGTGCAGCGGACAGTCGCGCGTCACTTGTTTCACTGCGCTTAGAAGGCGACGGTACGCGGCGCAGGTGTTGGCGCGAACAGCCCCGGAAATGCTCATTTCAGTGGGCGGAATTGAAAATAAAAAGAGCGGCTGCGGCCCCCCACCCACACCAATCCGGTTCTCTTCCGGCAATAAGAAGAAAAAGGGAAAAAAGACGACGAAAATCGCTCAGCAAAGAAGGTTTTCATGGCCCCCAGTGGAAAAGAAGCGGACACAACAAAAAAAAAAGTTCTCAAAACCGAACCCCCAGACGTAAAGCGTATATTCCATTCCGCTGCAATCCGCCGCCCAAAAAGGGCAAATCGCAAAGAATATTCACCTGGGCCGCTGACCGGATTCTGAAATGATCTTTATAGAAACCAAACACGATAGGGCAAAAGGGGGGTAACGCAGTGGCAGTTACTTGCCTCAATGTTTTCTTCTGACAAAATATTTATATTATGTTGACTACTCACGTGACCTTTTGTATTCAGGTAGGATTTGGAATATTATTACTTAAGAAGTGGCAGACTTTGGGGTCCTCCAACCACAAGACCCCGCCGCGAGGTGGAAATCAAAAAGGGGCTGAGAAAAAAAATGCAATTAAAAAATGAGGAATTATCTTGCCGCTATAGGTTCCCTGCTCCACTAAAGTCGTGTTCTTCCCAAAAAGATTCATACGGTAGAAAAAGTGTCGTAAAGAGGTGTATTCATTTATCAGGATATATACAGTAATTGAGTTAGCCAGCTCTCCCGCGATCATTCTCTTCACAAGCTCCTACAACAGTGTGAGATAAACAATATGCATGCATACACAGAAGTAACGACAGGGGCGGTGAAGCTTTTTTTCGCTCCCGTTATAAAAATTCTCTTTTTTTCCTTTTTTCAACTCTATTTCGGCGCCAGCCCAACCAGTTTTTTCCCCCACTCTACAATGCGATCTGCCTCCTCCACATCCCAGCCGTAAGGCAGCAGCGACTCAATGGTCTGGTTGCCGCACTCCACAAAGTAGGGACTAACAGGTTCAGTTCGGTTTGTTTTATTCAGCGGCTTAACAAGCCTTAATTCCTCGACGTCACACATCGCACAATGCAAAGTCGTTTGCGCCCCCTCCTCCCACGATTTTAGAAAGAGGAGCGAGGCATACTGGTAGATGCGTTGGACCCACTCCCTAGTCATAAGATCCCTCGAGAAGTTTGTCCCGACACAGCCGGGGTGAAGAGAACACGCAGGAATCTTGTGATGTCGCGCAATGTGGTGAGCGTGGGTAAATATTAAGCAATTTACTTGTTCC